GACACACAAATATATATACATATACATACACACATACATATACATATACATATACATATACATATACATATACATATATATATACATATACATATACATATGCATATACATATACATATCTATTCATCCGCATTCTTGCATAATTCCTCACCTGCAGCCACAGCACCCGACGGGATAGCCACCAGACCCACCGCCACGACAATCATCACCGTACACGTTAAACGCCCCCACACATTGAACTCAGTCAGAGGATAGTCTCCCGTGAGCAGCACAAACGTATATGGCAACGAGTGTGGGATGTTATTAAACCGCTCGGCTTCCGTCATATCAGACTCTTCGGTGTAGTCAGCCCTTTCGCACAGATACAGGACAGTGGCGAAGAACACCCACAACACCAGCGTCACGAAGCCAGATGTGATCAGGACGAACTTCTGTGGGGGGACGTGATGTAGGGGGTTAGGCTTACTTGTGCATGTAGGGTTTTTAAGGGGTTAGGGTTTACTTAGGGGGTTAGGCATACTTGTGCATGTAGGGGTTTTAGGGTTTTAGGGGATAGGGTTTAGGGCTTACCTAGGGGGTCAGGTGTGCATGTAGGTAGGTATTATTGGGGTTATATCTGTATGTAGCGGATATGTGAGTGAATGTAGGTGTACTTGCATATTCAAAATATTAGCAGGCCATAAAACATACATACATATCCATTATCTTACTATCCCACTAAAACCCTAAAACCCTTAACCCACAGATAGGTTATATAACAAACAAGCAATATACAACATGAACAATACAAATAGCGATGCACCAGTATAGAAATAGCATACTCTGCAGTGTAGTTATTTTGTTCGCATAGATAGAGGATAGTCACGAAAGACATCCTGAGCCATAGTGTTCGGAACCCAGATGATTTCTCTCACATTCAATGAAGGCGCAACTATTTATACAGATATGCATCTACATATATATAGCCACTTGTATATGGGATAACTATGAGGATCACGATATATATACAAATGCATAATATATATATAAATATATATATATCCACACATATATACAAATTCAGAACACTTGCACACACCACATTTACCCACACACCTTCTTCCTGAAAACATCGTCAATCAGGGTGAGTGCCGGGGCAAACTGTTCGAACTTCAACAACAGCAGCAACCGCACCACTCGCACTATCTGAGTGGGTATCAGGTCTGTGTGGGGCAGAGCCAGGTCAATGTAGAAGGGCAGGATGGCACACAGATCCACAATACTGTGTACATATGGAATGTATATAAGAGTATACATGTTAAGTAAGATATATATATATATATATATATATATATATATATACACTACACACACACACACACACACACACACACAC